AGATGAATTTCAACAAAGAATAAGTAGGAAGAAACACATGCCTATTTCTCTAGGCTACTATTAGCCAGTAACTTGTTTTCCCCCTTTGTGTCTCTGTAAACACTTATTCATATGAAATTAATCTAAGACATTTTGGGCAGTATTGACATTTTGTTTAATCAGCATTTGTTAAGTGGTCTGTTGTTGGGTACCGAAGACCTTCATGTTTTATCTTCATTTTTGGAAAGGACTGTACATAAAGCCCTTCTCGTCCTATTTTTAAGCAAGATTCTTCTTTATCAAACACATATTACAGTCATAAGCCTTCTGTTCTACAAGCTTCTACAGATCAGTTGTTACTGTCTTTTCAATTTTCTACACATTATAAAATGAAAAATGCTCAAACTTCTAAATCTAAAAGATACCATAAAAACAAATACCATTACTAACACCACTAATTCAATTCTAGGGCATCAGAAATCAACAATTATAAAACCTCCTGGCTTTCAGAAACGAGGATGAGTTTGAAATTTTGTTTTCTTTCCTTACTGGAAAAAAAAATGATTCTAAATACAGCTTTTCAAAGTTGTTGGAGTGTGAAGCCTCCATCATAGTTTTTCTACATATCAGTTTATATACTTTGCACACACATAACTTATTTCTTAAAGGATTTAAGAAATAAAGGAGGGCAGGGGATGTAGCTCAAGCGGTAGCGCGCTCGCCTGGCATGTGTGCGGCCCAGGTTCGATCCTCAGCACCACATACCAACAAAGATGTTGTGTCCGCCAAGAACTAAAAAATAAATATGAAAAATTCTCTCTCTCTCTCTCTCCTCTCTCTCTCTCTCTTAAAAAAAAAAAAAAGAAATAAAGGAATTCTTTAAAAAGAAAGCGAAAAAAGAAATGTATGGTTCCTCATATTATTATCCTGATGCTAGAGAAAGCCAGGACATTTTACTTTATTTTTTTAAATAGTTATTGTGTAGTTGTAGTTGGACACGGTACCTTTATTTTATTCATTTATTTTTACGTGGTGCCGAGGATTGAACCCAGGGCCTCGCTCGTGCTAGGCAAGCGCTCTACCGCTGAGCCACGACCCAGCCCAAGCCAGGAGTTTATATATTTGTTGTTTTCTGATGCCCTAGAAGTGAATTAGTGCTGTCAGTAATGGTATTTGTTTTTCTCCTTTGTTTAATTTTTTTTTATCTTGTCAATGGACTTCATTTATTTACATATGGTGCTGAGAATCAAACACCAGTGCCTCACACATACTAGGCAAGCGCTCTACCACTGAGCCACAACCCCAGCCCTTCTACTTTGTTTTACAGCAACCTTAAATATGAATAGCAATTAGTTGGAAAAAGTGGTGTTCTTCAAAGAATGGCCATAATTTAATATTTCAAATAAAAATTACAGAGAAGATCCAAAAAAGCAAGACTTCTAGAGCTAATAAACAAATTCAGCAAAATACCAGGTTACGAAACCAACATACAAGTATCAATAGCTTTTCCATACACAAAATTGCTGAGAAAGAAATCAAGAAAAAAATCCTATTTACAACAGCCTCAAAAAAATAAAAACACCTGGGAATGAATCTACCCAAGGAGGTGAAAGATCTCTACAATGAAAACTACAGAACACTGAAGAAAGGAACTGAAGACACAAAGATGAAAAGACGTCCCACGTTCATGAATAGGCAGGATTGTTAAAACGGTCATGTTATACAATCAATACCCCGATCCAGTGTAATCCCTATCAAAATATCAATGGCATCCTTCAAGGAGCTAGAAAAAACAGTCTTAAAATTCATTTGGAAGAATAAAAGACATAGAAGAGCCAAACCAAAAAGCAATGTTGGAGGCATCACAACATCTGACCTTGAATTATACTACAGAGCTTTACAGTTTAGTACTGGTACATGGGAAAGCTCTGGTCCTGGCATAGAAAAATCCCACATAGACCATGGAACAGAATACAAGACACAGAGACAAACCCACACAGACACAGTCATCTGATCCTGGAAACATATTGAAGAAAAAACAGCCATTTTTTTTTTTCTTTTTAGCAAATGCTGCTGGAAACACTAGTTATCCATATGTAAAAGAAAGAGTCTAGGTCCCTGTCTCTTGGTATGCAGAAGAGCCAACTCAAAATGGATCTAAGTCCTAGGAATCAGATCGAAAACTTTGCAACTACAACAGACAGGTGCAAGCAATGAATTCCTCAACCAACTCCTAAACCTCATAAAATAATGCCAAGAATAAATGGAATGGCATCAATTTAAAAAGCCTCTGCACAGCAAAGGAAACAATTAAGAATGTGAAGAAAGAACATACAGGAGATTTTTGCTCACTACTCTCTGACAGAGGGTTAACATCCAGAATATATAAAGAACTCAAAAACTTAACACCAAAGAAACAAATAACCCAATTAATAATGAAGTAAATACTTTTCAAATATAGAAATACAAATGGCTAAAAGATACATGAAAAAAAATGTTGAATATCTTTAGCAATTAAGAAACTGCAAGTCAAAACTACACTGATATTTCACGCTTATTAGAATGGCAGACATCAAGAACACAAACAGTTCTTTATATACTCTGGAGATTACCTAATGTGCTTGTGGTAAAATCTCTATTCACCTCACTCATCGTTTCTCTTCCTGAGGAGCTTTGTAGTATGAACCCATCCCACTCATTGATTCTTGGTTTTACCCTTGCCCTACAGGAGTCTTGTTAGGAAGTCGGGGCCCAAGCCGACGTGGTGAAGATTGGGCCTACTTTTTCTTCCACTTTGACTTTTGTGCATGGTGAGAGAAAGGGGTTTAATTCATTTTGCTTAACAGCCCCCAAAACCAAATAACCCAATCAATAAATGGGTCAAGGAACTGAATAGACACTTCTCAGAAGATGATATACAATCAAAGAATATATGAAAAAATGTCTAACATCGCTAGCGATTAGAGAAATGCAAATCAAAATCTACTCTAAGATTTCATCTCACTCCACTTAGAATAGCAGCTATTGAGAATACAAACAGTAATATGCGTTGGTGAGGATGTAGGGAAAAAGGCACACTCACACATTGCTGGTGGGACTGCAAATTGGTGCAACCAATCTGGAAAGCAGTATGGAGATTCCTTGGAAAACTGGGAATGAACCAGCTGTATCTAAGCTGTATCCCATTCCTCGGTTTATACCCAAAGGACTTAAAAACAGCATACTACAATGACACAGCCACATCAATGTTTACACCAGCACAATTCACAATAGCTAAATTGTGGAACCACCTAGATGCCCTTCAGTAGATGGATAGATAAAGAAAATGTGGTATATATACACAATGGAATACTACTAGCATTAAAGAGAATAAAATCATAGCATTTGCAGGTAAATTGATGGAGTTGGAGAATACTATGCTAAGTGGAGTACGCCAATCCCAAAAAACCAAATGCCAAATGTTTTCTTTGAAATGAGGAGGCTGATCCATAATGGGGAGGCGGGGTGGGAACATGGGAGGAATGGAGGAACTTTAGATAGGACAAAGAGGATGGAGGGAAAGGGAGAGAGGATGGGGATAGGAAAGACTGTGGAAAGAGATGGACATCATTACCCCAAGTACATGAATGAAGACAAGAAAGGTGTGACTCTTTGTGTACAACCAGAGACATGAAAATTTGTGTTCTATATGTGTACTATGAATTGAAATGCTGTCAGACACTTCTGTCATATACAACAGTTTAGATAAGTAAATTTTAAAACAAACACAAACAATAATTGCTAGAGGATGTACAGAAAAAGAAACACTTATACATTAGCTGTTTGGAATATAAATTAGAAAAACTGTTATGGAAATCAATATTGAGGTTTCTCAAAAGACTAGGAATGGAACAACCATATGATCCAATTATGACATTCCTCTGTATTTATCCTAAACAATTAGTCAGCAAAGTACAGCAACACATGAATACCCAAGTTTATGCAGCACAATTCACAACAACAAAACTCTGGAGTCGGCAGAGGCTTCCCATGTGAATGAATGAATGAAAATAAAATATGGTATGTATATAAACAAATGGAGTTTTATCAGTCATAAAGAATGAAATTATGTCATTTACGGGAAAGTAGGTGAAACTTGAGAACACTAGCTTCAGTGAAACAGGCTAAAGTCGGAAAGTTATGGGTGGTATGTTTTCTCTAAGTTAGAAGTTAGACAGGACAAAGGGAAAGGCAGTGGGAGTCTCATGAAAACTGAAGGGAAATGTGTAGAGGAGAAGGACCAGCAGGAAGGAGGGTGGGGGGGAAGGTGAAATACTGGAGAATGATTTGGGCCAAATTATGTACCAATAAAAAAGGATGAAAATTAAAAATACAGGACATGTAAAGAGAAATGTTAAAAAAAAAATCTCAATTAGAAATAAAAACTTTCTCATCACTCATGATGAGAAAAGAGTTTATTAATATGCCACCACTCCTCCCCTTGAATATCCACCTAGGCCAGGACCACCAGACGTATTTCTTTATTGAATTATAACCATTCCCTATTTCCCCCAAATCTTTTAGACTAGATTAGAAAATTTAAACTTCTCAGTTGTTTATGACCCAATTAGACAAATAAGTTAACCTTTCACTCTGATTTGAGGTTACCATGATACTACTTTCAATATGAAGGGAAATAACCTTAGGTACTTCTTTCCTAACCGTAACAACTCTTGAGCATAATTGTTTCAACTACTGTTTCCAAGGGTCTTGACTTTTTCATGCGTAGAACTGGAAATTATGTTAGAGTCAATCATTCTACCAAAGTCGGGAAGTATCAAAGGAAAAACTTGATCATGTCTCCATTTAAAAATTTAGAACTATTAAACAACAATCCAGCTTTAGAGAATGAATTGTGTTCTTTCATGGACAAAACTCTTCATGTATGAAGTTACAAGTTATTTTATGCTTAATTAAGAAAAGGGTATATTTTTACAAAGTATTTGTTTAGAGAGTTTGCTGATTTTTGTAGAAACACCTACCTTTCAGAAACAAACTCAACACAATCTGGTGACAAATTAATGTTTTCATTTGCTTTCTTCAAGGGGTTAGAAGATTCAGAGTTCACTGAAGTTACTCTTTCATTTGGATTATTAATTGATTCTTGATTCCTACCAAAATTCATGGTCTCTGAATTTGTAATCTGTTAAATGGGTGAGGAAAAACAGTTAAGGAGTGGGTAAAATTTATGTCAGTCAAAATTTCACTTAAAAATATTTTCAAAATATTCTCACATGACAAAACATATTATATAATCTGTATTTCAACAACTGATGACCACAATTGTGATTTCTCTGCCAGAATAAACTTTTAAAAACTTTGAGGAAAAAAACCCAAAACTTCAAGGAAATAAAGATAATGTCACCATACAGCATTCAACTTCCTAGGTTGGATTACAAGGAGGGATATTAAATACTTTAGACAACATTTTATTTCTACCAGCTGAAGTTTTAGAAACTAAAAAAAAATAAGACTTCAACTTTTTACTACTGCCATATTTCTAATAAAGACAGAAATAAATCAGATTGCAAACTCACTTTTCCAAGTAGTGAATCTGTTTAAAACTTAAACATGTAGTCTGTGTTCTGGCTTGAGAACTTGCAGCATTTATAATACGTCTGCATATTACCCAATGGGAAAGGATCAACTGATTGTCTAACTCAGGAACCATTCTCTGGTACAGTATGCACACAAAAAATGCAGATACACTAAAGCACAATTCTGCAATATTATTGTATTAAACAACACTGCAAATCAGGAAAAGGTGGCCCAATCCACTTCAATGTCTGGATGGTCAGCGCACCCCACGAGGGACAGTAATAGGGCCTGCACTACTCACATATCCACATCACCCCTGCTCCCCGCCCAGGCAACAGCAAGCCCAGGGCACTGCCTGACAGGGTCCATGGGCCAACATCTCCTGAACTTCCATCCAACAGCACTGGGAACCATGGTAGGACCCATAGAAAATGAACAGGACACCCAGGGGAGCCACAGGAATGAAGGCAACGCAAGTAGCACACAAAATCTCAGGGAAAAAACACTTAAGAGAGGAGAGCAGGACCTACACTAAACCTAAAGGGGAACTGCCTACTGAAAAGGTATATGCCACATCTCCTCAAAGAACCCTTGGTTTGGCTGAACACTGTCACGTTTTGCTCCTCTGGGAGAAGCAAAAGGTCGTACAACCATGTCCTTGGTTTTTTCTTCAGAGCATGCTTTTTTGCCAATAAACTTCCTAATTTTAGGATCTGTTGCGATCTGGATAGGTTGAGAATTTTCCAGTGTGCAGCACCCTTATTACTCAGCACTTTCTCCTTACAATTGTTTCTTTCATGTTGTACTTTAATAGAAGCAAGAAGAAATACACAAAACATTCCTTCAACACTTGCTCAGAAATCTTGTCAACCTAATAAAAATCCAAGTCCAGGGGGCTGGGGTTTTGGCTCAGTGGTAGATTGCTTGCCTAGCACGTGTGAAGTACTGAGTTCCATCCTCAGCAACACATAATAAATAAATAAATAAATGCATGTGCTGGGTTCAACTTTAAAAAAAAAAAATCCAAGTCCATTGCTTACAACTTTGGTTTCCCATGACAACTGTAGGACTACTCAGCTATACCGTGACCTTATATATAAAAAAACAATCCCCTGAGCAGGCTGCAGTGGTGCACACTTACCATCCTAGCCACTAAGGAGGCTGAAAGTAGCAGGACAGAAAGTTCAAGGCCAGTCTCAGAAACTTACTGAGATCTTAACTCAAAATAAAAAATATAAAAAAATGTCTGGGGAAGTAGCTCAATGGTAGAGCACCCCTGGGTTCGACTCCCAGTACCACACATGCCCACACAAAAAAGCGCAGAAATCTAATGTATGTAAAGAAAGAATGAAGAATAGAAATCAATGAGAAAAATGAAAGAGTAAAACTTCAAAAGCTCTAGACTCGTCAAGAAAAAAAACAGATTAACCATATCAGAAATGAAGCCAAATACTAACATACATTATAAAAAAAAGATAATAATTCAGGGTACATGCACAAATTATAAGTTGTATATAAAAATATAAACAGCTAGCTGGGCACGGTGGTACAAACATGTTGGGAGGCTGAGGCTAGCCTCAGCACTTAGTTCATTAAGCACTAAGCAACTTAATGAACTCTGCCTCTAAATAAAAACTGAAAGAGCTGGGATGTGGCTCAGTGTAAAGCCTCCTTTGGATTCAATTCCTAGTATCCGCTCCCCAAATAAATACACACAAAGACAGCCACTAAATTGTACTTAATCATTTTATATGTAATATTTTGAAATGTATGTTTCAAAGTTTATTTTGATACAAAATATACTGGCATTCTGAATGAATCAAATATACACGGCTTACTGGGGATGAATATATATGACAAGAATAAGTTAGCAAAATATTAAAGTTAAAATCTAGGTGCTCAGTATATGAATACTCACTGTAAAATTCTTTCAACTTTGCTGTATATATTGACCGTTTTCAAACTAAAGAAATGTAAGTGGTACAATTCATAAGAACATTCTAAGTATAAATTAATTTAAGTCCAAGTTAGGAAATAAATTCATTTCTTACAGTCCAACTACTTATAGGAGTCATCTAGGTTATTAAAACTCCCGAGTGTTTATACCAACCTTACAGGCTATATTACTAGATAATGTGTTTGGTTCCAAACCTTTCCTTTGAGATAATAATACTGTTTTAATACGTCTCTGAAGTCTTGCTATTTTTGCCTGGAAGAAAGAAAAATAAGTAAACACCAAACCAAAGAGCTAAGATAATATATAGAAAAGTCATTCAAAGTAGTTTTGTGAGACTTAGGCATATAATCAAATAAGAAGTTCTTATTTAGTTATCCCCTGGTTTCATGGAATTGGTCCCAGCCTGGGTGTCAAGGAGAAAGTCAAACTTGCATCCATCCACCTGAATCCACACCCTGGGTTCCTGTCTATTGATCATTGGGGCGGGGGGACAATGACCCAAGGCTCCGTCAATTGATTGACATATCCAGAAGGTCAGAGGGTTCCCTGGCCATAGGCCTATACGGGATCTAGGATAGTCAGAGCCCCAATGACCATGTTGTTGATTTAGGGCATGGGGTATGCAGAGTGCCTGGCCCAATGTCCCTCTTTGCCACACTTGAAGCAGGCGCGTGGGGGTGGGGTGGGGCTGGGCCTGCTGTGAGGGGCAGCAACCTGAGGCAGCACCCTGCAGGGCCTGGGCGAGCATCTTAAATTACTGAGTTCAGCCTTGTGAAAAGCCTTAAAGGCTACCGCCAAGATCTCAGTCTTGGGGGTGGCAGGGCCTTGTTTGAGCTTTTTGAGTTGGCCCGGATGTCGGGGTAGCTCTGCAAGAGGAAATATGTCATAAGGACATGATGGCCATCTGGGGTTTCGGGATCTAGGTTAGCATACTGCTGAAGGGCTTTTGTAAGCCGATGCAGAGATTCCAATGGGTCTCCTCTCGCTTTTGAATAATCTCTTGTAATTTTTGGAAACTGATGGGCTTAGGTGCCGCTTTCTTGAGCCCAGCAATAATAAATGCAGAGAATCGGTCCCTATTCTGTATGCCAGCTTGTGTATCATAATCCCAGCCAGGAGTTTGATCTGGGGCAGCAAGTGGCCCTGGAGGGTGACTGGAATTAACTTGGTGAGTTTCATCCGCATGGGCTCTGGCAAGTTCCCAGACTCTGGTGCGTTCCTCGGGAAGGAGGGTATTAGCCAATGACATGTGTATATATCAGGAAGAGTGAGGCTACAAGCCTGTAAGTGGTGGGATCTGTGGGAATGAGCCCAACCTTCGCTTGGGTTGTGTGAGGTCATTACCCGGATGATGCCCTCAGGTCCAGCAACCTTTCTTAAGGGGGGCACTGGTTTGTAGGATTAGGGAGCGGGACCTAGTTTGGGGGGACTAAAGGTGTCAGCCCAGTCAGGGGATCACCTGAGGGGCTGGACAGAGCCGACACGGGAGTCGGTAGGCGGGGGCGTTCATCTACCGGATAGTTGGGGTGAGAACAAGGAAGACAAGGAGCCTCAAGAGAGGGGATCTCCTTCCACTTTTTCGAGCGCTTGCAGAAGTTAAACAGATCTCTGAGAATTGCCACTGGGTTCCAGAGTCCACCGTGACCGTGAAGGCCGTGGTGGGGTGCGTTCTCTCCTCCAGATTGGGCGTCAGAGGTTTGCCGGACGTTCAGTCACAGCCCCTGAGTAGCCCATCTGAAGTTGGATACCCGATAGGGGAACTCACCTACTGAAGAGCCCGTGTTGTGCGAGTAGCAGTGCTCGAAAGAGTGGACGAGGACGGCCAGCCTTGAGAGAGGGGCCCTCGGCAGTGAGGCAGTCCCCCTCCCCGGTTCGGAACCGAGGAACAGCTCTGCGTATTTATAGAGCAGGGGGTGGTTTGACAGTTATGACAGTTTAACGGTTTAATGGTTTGACAGTTGGCACGGGGTGCTTTCTGATTGGTGGGTAAGGATCATGTGAGTCAGCAGGGCTCACCACTGGGTGGCTCTTCTGGGGGGGATGAGGAAGTTAGTCTTTGGGGCCAGGGCGACTCCCAACAATCAGTCTTTTAATTGGTCCACTATAAAACTGATGCTGATAAAAACACCAATCAGCAAGTGACGCTGGGAGGGGGGATTCCAAGAGGCTGAAATAGGCTGTTTAGCTCTAACACAGAACAAACTTAAAATGAAAAGAAACAGTGCCTAAGAACTAAGCCATAAAGCATCCCAGGATGCTGATGGCTCTGAGACTTCTCCAAGGCCAATACTGCTGAAAAGAACCAAGTTCTTTCGTCTTTTCTATGCCATAGTCTTCAACAGGCTTGTGGCCAGGAATCAAATGTGGGTCTTCTTCCTTCACTGTTTCCTTTTCTAACACATAAGAGCACTAGATTTCACTGTTTTAAAAGGACTCAAATGAAACCAAACTTACGAAGAGTTCATCAGCTGTTGCTTCATGCTTATTCCTGCACTGCATCTTCCCAATGCGTTCGTTCAATTCTTTCAGTTTTTTATCAAATAGTTTGTGATTTACACTACAGATCTCCTGACGAATCAAATGTCTGACCTAGAATTTTAAAATAAAAACAAAAACATCCCAGATTTCAAATTTCAAATAACTTTTTTACTTTTTAGAAATAGCTTTGCTCTTTTTCTGGATTAACTAAGATACTTTTTAATGTTTCCATTTATATTACTGTAGCAATAAGTTATATAAAACTTGAATATTAAGCTCAATAGAACATATCCAGCACTCTAGTGTCATGTATAATTAGAATAAAAAAATACCATATACAATATATAAAGATGTTAGAAATTAAACTTATTCTCAAATTGCTTCTTATAGTGCCAGTTGATTATTATTCTACAATATCCATTATAGAAACAATTACAGAGCTATATTACACACATACACACACACACACTTTTTTGGAGGTTGGGGAGATCAAGAATTGAACTCAGGGGCACTCGACCATGAAGCTACATCCCGAGTCCTCAGTCTCACTGAGTTTCTTGGCGCCTGGCTTTTGCTGAGGCTGGCTTTGAACTCAAAATCTTCCTGCCTCAGCACCCAGCTCCATTTAGATTTTTAATTATCAAACTTACAAGTTCGCAGTCCATAAAAAGCAGCTCTACTTATCTGAAAACCAGAGCCTGATGAAAATGGTTGGGTGGTCTACAGTAGATACAGAACAAATTGCCCACGTTTGAAACTTGACCCTGCAATTAACAAGCCATATGGTCTTTGACAAGTCACAACACCTCTGGGCTTCGTTTTCTCTGTCCAAAATGGATAGAGGACATAGAAAAATGTTTGCTGAATGAGGAATACTTAAAGGATTTTATACAAACAAAATAAGATAACATGTGAAATAGTTCCATATTGAAATGAGAGAAATAAATATGCAAGAAATTCACCATTATTTCCATAGTGTTTTAGGGGTAGCTTTGTTATGTTAAAATGGAAAAAAGCCAGGGACAAATATGCAATGACTCACACTTTCTGGAAAAATGAATGCTATTCTAACACTCTGTAGTAGCTATTACATGAAAGATTAATGCACTTTATATAATCTGCACTTTAAACCAAAAAACAAAATAGATTGGCCTATTTTCAGGAGGCATAATTAATCTCAATGGCCACTGATCAGCACAGTTCTGCTGAGCCATACATTCACAAACACTGTAGTTTTTCAGTGTATATCCTCCTGTAAACAAATTTCATAACAAAGTAGGTAGTCTCTTTTAATAAAGACACCAGTAATGATACATTTAAGGTGTTTATTAGCAATAATTATATCTTGCTACATGGTGCTCAACTGAAATGCATAGTTCACATGTTGAATTCTTTTATATTGATATCACCTGATGATTAGTTTTAGTCTAATTTTATTTGATTGTTCCCAAGATTTTTCCTTTTCATTTTCAATTGTTTTCATTATTCAACATTGTCTATGTCTACTTGGTCTTTGCCATAGTGCTTATTAAACACACACACACACACACACACACACACACACACACACATCACTCAAAATATTATTGTAAAAAAAATTCTCAGAAACACATACTATTTTTACTGACAGCCTTTACCTGCTACCCATGTGTGGGTTACTGCGTGCTTGCCAGTTCACTGGCTGGGGTAATATGTGAAGGTCATGCTCAGATAAATCTTAAGAGAAACATATCTAAATGCTTTGAACATGTGTTTCTGAAAAACTTCCTTAGAAAGGAATAATCAAATGGAACATATGTTTAAATCACAACTACTTGGCCTCATCCTGGATCCAAATAGAATCTCCAGGAAAGAGGCTTAGAAAATTGTACAATTAACAGGCACCACCAATGATTCATACTGGCTACATCTGAGAAAACAGTAGGCGAAAACAATGATCTTCAACTATAAATGAGCTCAAAAAACCTCTATCTGAGGGAGACCCTTAAACTTGATGACTTGCCCACTAAGGAGTAATTCTTTTTAGAGTGGACGTTTGTCCTCACTTGGTGATGATGTCCATTGTACAGAGGCACAATGGATTCCATAAAATGCCTATTAAATGTGTTTTACCAATGGTAATGTATGCACCATTATGAATCTGGTGGAAGGCCTACCTGCAGTTTGCAGATGGCAACCAAATTGGCCACAAGTTTGTAGAAAATCTAAATTTACAATCTGCCCTCACGTTTTTTAAGAGGGCAGTTAGAGTGAATAACCTCGACTGTGGAGGAAAAACCTTCCAAGCCTCTAACCTAATGGAGTCAGCTGGGTCCCGATCCTTCCTAGATCTCAGGAGACAACAGCTCTAGGATTCAACAGGGAAAAAGACTGTCAGCATGGGAGGGCCTTATATCTATGAGATTCAAACAAGATAAACAGAGACAGGTTCAGAGAGAGAACTGTCTGGACAGGAATAACACGAGGGGAAAGCTAGCTGTTTGACATAGGAAAAAAGGACTGCTAAATCCAAGTTGTCTCTGGAGAATGTAAAGAAACTAGATGCCTTCAACTCACTGAAGTAGACAATGGTACTGACAGCTCTATGCCAGTGAAATTAAAATGTCCAAAGTCTAGGATACATTTTGTCCATTCACTTTGTTTCTGAATGCAGCCAGGAGTCACTGGGAAGCCTCAGTCTTCTTCCTGATAACATGGTCCTTAGGTTTGATTGCCCCTTCTCTGCCAGCAATAGAACAATTACCTTTTTTTTTTTTTTCTTTTGGTGATCCTGGGGCTTGAGCCCAGAAGTGCTTTAATACTAAGGTATATCCATGGTCTTGCTAAGTTGTCTACATTGGCCTCAAACTTGTGATCCTCCTGCATCAGACTCCCAATAGCTGGGATTATAGGAGTGGACCACCTTGCCCAGCTATTACATACTTTTTAAAATTAGTGTCTACTTTGATCTTCTTGGAAGAAAATAGGAGATAGAAAGAGGAAAACTGCTAACTTACCTTTGAAGCTGGTTCTGCATCAATCTTTTAAAAAAGTTTTCCTTTAATAGGTAATACGTGGTCCTAGGACATATAGCTATATAATTGTAATGGTCCGTTTTAGAATGCAGTAGTGCTTATTGATAGATTTTATATATATGCGCATATATATATATATATATTTATTTTCCCTGAAACACACCGATCACTTGGTGTGGAAGATTCTGGCCCATTGTGGCTGAAACATGTGCTCTAGCACATACTTTCTGATAGTGATACGATGCCAGTGATGGTGGAAAAGCAAAGCCGGATCATCAAAACAGGATCTCATTACAGCCACAGAATTGGAGTTCAATAAACCTCCTTTCAGAGCTGAGCAGACATGTGTGGAGGGAGAAATGAGAGCAGCAGGTCAGATACTGCAGCACATCCATGTGACTGTGGGAATGTGAGTACGTGAACCTGAATTCAGAAGAACTCTGCAATGGACTCTGGACACTCTGAATCTAAACTGAGCAATTATGATGAAGTCTACAAACAGCCACCTGCCACTAAGGAACCCATAACCAGCAGAAAAGCTCCCGTCGTTTGGCAGAGTTCAAGATTGTTCAACGTCAGACTCACACGTATCTGACTGTATGGTTGACTAAAAAAATATTCTACAACTAGACTATCTAAACAATTCCCCCATTTCCAAGAACCTAGAAATATTTTGGTAAGGGACATAATTTATCTGTCTGCTCATTTGATTTTCATGCACCAGCTTTGCATCAAGTGAAAATCATCTGTACCATGACACTGTGGAGAGAAGTTAGTTAACATTTAATTAAAAATATTGTTTTTTTAACTAATAAAAAATGTTTTTGAGGCAAATATTTAAATCCCGATATTTTACCTGTTCCAGTACTGCTGTTTGCTTTTCCAGAGCTACACAAATGTCTTCATTAATTGGCTCTGAAGTTTTCATGCGTTTAACATTTTCTTTGTTTTCTGAAAGCGTCCTCTTCTTTTGATTATGGCCTTGAGGAGATGGAAAGATTAGAAATAAAAATATTCTTTCTTGAGAAGAAAATGGGAATCCCTAATTTGGGGACACTCTAAGCAAATGGAAAAACTAAAATGTAAAAAAATTTTTAAGAAAATTTGATGCATAAAAAATGTTCCCACAAACTTGTTAAAAAAAAAAAAAGACTATTTTGATAAAGTATGGTTCTGATCTCAGATACACTCCCACTCCAGACTTATGTAATACACATATACCAACAAAAACCAGTCAAACTACATCATTTAATCCTTTGCTTAGCTAATTCAGTGATCCTACATTACTTTTACAATTACTTAATGCTATATATTTTTTAACAGGTGAACCTATCATATTTAAACAATTTTTTTTTTAAATTTTTTTTTTTTTTTTTAAAGAGTGAGTGAGAGAGAGGGGGACAGAGAGAGAGAGAGAGAGAGAGAGAATTTTAACATTTATTTATTTTTTCTTAGTTCTCGGCG